TGCAAATATCTTAACCCTAATAATAGTCGTCCGTGATCTAACGCGGTTTTGAGGTCTCGAACTTTGATAAACCGACGGCCCCATTTGTCCTCTTCTCTTGCTAATCTTTTTGCTTGCATGTGAGCCTCTTTGATTCGCTAGTTACAGTTCGTTTGATTACGCCACGACGGCCCCATGCAATTTTCTTCTAAATTATTCACGAGAAATTACAACTAAAAAATAAAAAATAAAAAAATAAAAACCAGGATGTTTTGCCTTGTGCTTTGGGATTCGTGGAGCCCAAGCACGTTCCATGTCCATACAGACATGCATTCTCCTTGGCTTAAGATTACGAGTACTTCTAAAACAGAGCTGTTCTTAATAATGCAGGAGAAATCTGATTCAAGATCCACCTTGTGACTTGTCCATCGTAAAGATTGATTACGTATGCGACCAGTAACGAAAAGGTCTTGCGCTATGGTTAATCGCTCGTGTGTTTTGTATCCTTTCCCTTTTAAGGGAAAACATACAAGGGGACAAATGAGGTTAGGTGGTTCTGTGGGCATTGGAAAAATGGTTGGGTTGCTCTTACAGTGACCAGTGGAAAGGTTGGTGTGTGACTCTAGGGCGCCTACCAATAACTTGCCAAAATGCCTCAATTGATAATCTTCGATTGGTTCTCATGCAACACTCGTCAGTGTTGAATTTTAGATATTACATAAGGATGACTGTTCCAGATTTGTATGGATTTTCCCAATGATGAATAAACCAAATGCTTTTCCAATATTTTGCAAATTCTATGCATTCATTGCTACATAGTTTAATGCTTCTGTCAAGTACTTGCATTCAGATGATGGGGGTGAATATATGAGTAACATGTTTCATCGGTTCTTAGAAAGTAAATGAATTGTTCATCTCACTTCTTATCCATATACACCACAACAGAATGGTCTAACTGAGAGAAAGCATAGGCATGTTGTGGAGACAGCTATCAGTTTAATGTTAGATGCAAAACTTCCAACTTATTTTTGGTACCATAATTGTTCTCATGCTGTTTTTTTTTTTTTTTTTATAAATAGAATGCCTTGCAAGAATCTAGGCATGAAATCTCCATATCAGGTTTTGTTCAAATGTAATCCTGATATTCATTCATTAAAAGTTTTTGGAATAGTTGTCTATCCTCTTCTCGGACCATTTAATGAGAACAAACTTCAACCAAGATATACAATGTGTATTTTTGGGCTTTGCTATTGGCTATAAAGGGGTACTGTGCTACAACATTCAAACAAGAAAATTTATCATCTCCAAAAGTGTGATACATGATGAAGATGTCTTTCCATTTAGGTAGATATGTGATACTCATGGTTCAAGGGAAACACAGAAAAGCTCAGTCTCTCCAGTGATTGTACAAATCAATGCACCAAGAGGGGTATCTCAGAATACACATAATAATCAAACCATGGTTGAAGAAAGAAGAGATATATCAGTGTCTGATAGGAGTCAATCTTCAAGTACTAATGACAGAAGCATTCAATTTGTTAGTTCAAATAATAGTAGTACTCAACATATTGTTGATAGAATTGAAAATTCAGAGCACATTGATTTCATTCCAAATAACAGTGACCAATATGTGATAGAGTCAAATGACAACAACTTGCAGTTTTATCATACAAATCATCACTCTTCTCCTCTTTCTGGTACAACATCAATGTTGAATGTCCACTCAACCAATCAACTTGAGGTAATTCTTCCACTTTCATCTACTACTAAACCATATCCTTCTACTTCTGGATCTACACATTCCATGACAACTAGATTAAAAAGTGGTGATATTGACAGAAAGAATTATGTAGCTTTATTAGTCTCAATTCCTGAACTTCATTCTTTACAAATTACTGAGGAAGATCCATTCAATGGAGAATATTCATTCTTATATGAAATACTTGATATACAAGAACTATCATCTTTTAGAAAGGCATCAACAATCCCACAATGGCAAGCAGCAATGCAGGAAGAGTATGATTCATTAAGAGTTCGGGGAACTTGGGTTTTGGTTCCATCTCCAAAAGATAGAGCTATAGTTGGAAGCAAGTGGGTCTATAAAGTAAAGAAGAATCCAGATGGTACAATCTCAAGATATAAAGCAAGACTTGTTGCTCAGGGGTTTTCTCAAGAACATGACATTGATTATATGGACACTTTTAGTCCTGTTGTTCGACACGATTTAGTGAGGATTGTTTTAGCTTTTGCTGCTATGAATCACTGGAACCTTAAACAGTTGGACATTAAAAATGATGTTCTTCATGGGGATCTACAAGAGGAAGTATACATGAAGTAGCCTCAAAGATTTGTTGATGCCTCTCATCCCACACATTTATGCAAACTAGTCAAACCATTATATGGTTTGAAACAAGCTCCGAGAGCCTGGAATTCAAAATTCACAACCTATCTAGGAGCATTGGGATTATGTGCCTCAACTTCTGATACTAGTTTGTTTATGAAACAAGATGAGTATGATATAATCATTTTGTTATTATATGTTGATGACATAATATTAATTGGTTCTAATTTTGAGAAGATACAAGGAATGATTCATGAGCTATCTGCAGTGTTTGATTTAAGAGACATAGGCAAGCTCACATATTTTTTGGGTTTACAGATCCTTACAAGGACAATGGTGATATATTTGTGAATCAATCTAAATACATCAAGGATTTGATTCATAAAGCTGGTATGAAGACATGTAAACCAGCTCCTACTCCATGTAAACCACACCATCAATTGCTGGAATCAGAAGGTACCTTGTTGACAGATCCAATCTTGTATAAGAGTATAGTAGGCTCTTTGCAATACTTGACTTTTACTAGGCCAGACATCACCTATGCAGGCAATAATGTTTGTCAGTTCATGTCATCACCTACTGAATTCCATTTCGAAGATGTGAAACGGATCCTCAGATATTTATAAGGGACAATGAATATTGTGGTTTTATATTCTGCAGCAACAATACCTCAATTAAATGCTTTCTCAGACTCCGATTGGGCAACTGATTTGAACACAATAAGGTCAGTTACTGGTTATGTTGTGTTCTTAGGTAATAATCGTATATCATGGCAATCTAAGAAGCAAACCTCAGTTTCTCGAAGTTCTACTAAGGTTGAGTACAAAACACTAGCACACACAGTTGTTGATATAGCTTGGGTGAGGAACAAACTGAAGGATTTAGGAGTTTTTCTGTCTCATCCACCAAGTATTCACTGTGATAATATGTCTGCTATCTCTCTCAGTGCCAATCTAATGTTTCATTCTAGAATAAAGCATCTGGACACTGATTATCATTTTGTTCGAGAATGTGTACAACAAGGAGATTTGGAGGTCTTGTATATTCCCACTAAAGATCAAATTGCAGACAGCTTGACATAAAGGTTACATAATCCTTCCTTTATTAAACACTTTTACAATCTCAAGCTAAGAAATCCTAGTTGAGATTGAGGGGGATGTTGAATGTAATCGAATGAAGCTACTAGTAGTGTGTGCCATGTCAGCATAGGATGTTAGGCTGTTAGTATTTGGAGTGCCGTGTCAGCATAAGTTGTTAGAGAGTTTGTTAGAAGTTGGTTGTGTTAGTTAGCTTTGTAGCTTGGATGCTAAGTCTCTAGAGCCCTATATAACAAACCTAGCTATGCAAATGTAATTCATTCAGCATTCATCAATACAAAAGATCATATTTATTTCTTATGTTCTCTCTTTAAAGATTCTTTCATTTGTTCTTTGAGTGTTCTTCAAAACCTTGAGTTTTCTGCATAATTTCAGAATGATTATTAGTCAGGCCCTTGCGGCCTATTTGGTCATTTTCTTAAGGATGTGACTATTCTCACTTATTTTTACATCCCACATATCATTCTTAATTTTTTGTCATTGACTTTCTCCAATTTATTTGATCCGATGGCTGAAAAATGAAAATGGTGTATGATAAGTAAAAATGGGTGTGTGAATGACACTACCCTTTCATCAAACTACGGTAAGTCCGCAATTTAGCCTTTTTTTTGTCAAACAGGCCAAGAGCTTGACCTTTTTCGACCACGTGTTCCAACTTGAGCATCAAGTGTGCCCGATTCTCAAGTTGTACCATTCTCGGTTCACTCACTATAAGTTTCTATTCCTCCACTTATTGATAGGTAATGTTAGGGAGACTAAATTTTGAAAACTAAAAGATATGGAAGTTGATGATTGATTTATTACTTAAGCATTGATTAACGTGCTCAATTCTATTGGTGACACATCATTTAGTTTACAAATTTAATCTAAAAATTTAATCTCCCTAGTATTACCCCTTATTGATATGCTTAAGTTCAGTAGATAACCCCACCACCTTTGGTCGTGCTGAAAGGTCTGCCAGAGCAAATCGAAGCGTCTCGCTGAGTTGCTAAAACCGCGACAGGTGCACTTCCTTTTGGGCCCATGTCGATTATTTGGACTACTTTCTTTGACCCATATTTTTACTAACCTTTGGGAAATGTTTTTGTTCAATGCATATGACCCATTTGATAATTTTTTTTTTTTTTAATTCTTATTTGACTGCTGTTAGCAATACTCCAAAATATCATTCAACACTCCTTATGCAAATATTTTATTATGTTTTTACAAATTTGAAATGTTTTTGTTCAATGCATATGACCTATTTGATAACTTTTGGTGTGCTGATAGTAGTTCATTTTGGTTTCACTTGTTTTTGTTAGTGATAAAAGAGTACAAATGGGAGATGGGAGATCAAGAATAGTGGATGAAAGAGGGTGAGAGAGATGTAGTAGAAGAAATGCGCAATGAAAGACACCCAGAATTATAACTAAAAAAAAAAAAAAAAACTATTTTAAGTTTTAATTTTTCATAACCGATAGAACCACTTACTTCTGATAGTAGCACACCAACCATACACAATCACTTTAAAGCCCAAACAGACACGGTCACTTTAAAAGCCAGTAATACAAGTGATTATGGACAAAAGGCTCAATGTTTGTCCGGGTACACGAAAAGAAGCACTTGATTTTAGTACTAGCTCGGTACAAAGCACAGTACTATACTACATAAATCAATAGAACTGCTAATCAAAAGCTTTTTCTCTTCTGAATGTGGCTTACAATAGCATAGCAGATAAGTCACTACAGAAAGATATGGATATAACTGTTCTAATTGTACAATCATATCTTTTACATTTCATTTCTTCAACTACATTATACAAGCTCCTTTCAACTCACAGGTATTCTCAATATTGAGATGCTGCCCTTCTGTCACTCCGATCTCCGCATTTTGACTACTAACGAAACTTCTTTGTAGGACTTAACCTTCTCAGCTGCTTTGCGCAATGGTCTTCCAACTGAAGACCGCCTTGGGGCACAATTATCTTCTCCCTCTTCTTTTCTTGTAGATGAAATCAATGGAGTGGGACCACTACTGCGCATCGGACTGTCTGGTGTGCAACTGACTGGTAATTTGACATCCTCTATTTCAAACAGGTTCTCTGTCTGGGAAATAAATCTGGCAGATTGCCTCCTCAAACACCGTCTGAACAAAAGAAAAGGAAGCATTAAGGAGAAGCAAATATAATAACTTAGGCACAGAAAATACAGTTCTTAGATATGGGAAAACATCGTTAACATTAGTGAGAAACACTTAAAAGAATCAAGCCATTGAAAAAAAAATCATCGCCTATCCACATATGATACATGGTGCAATAATAGTTAAGTAAAGGCATTTTTGGTTCAATATATAGGCCTCTTATCACAGTTTTTTACAAGAAAACAACACCTGACAGGTTCATGGTGCCAGGTGAAACCCTATATATATTAGCCAGGGTGACTACCTCAGGGCAATGTCAGTGCTGGATCAAGATTAGTAGTGGTCCCACATTGGTCCACTGATAGGTGACTCGGCTGATAGTTTCTTTAAGCAACATTGAAAATCACCATTTTTACACAGTGGACCATCCACATGGTAAAATAGGCGACTCAAGTGAACTCCCTACGCAAGCATCTCAGAACAAAGTCTTAAAGGTGGTTAAGATTCCTAAGCAGAAAAACTCTGGTAGAGGAGGGAGTTGCAAGAACCATTGTACACCGTTTAATGATTGTGCGAAGAACACAATCAACAGTGAGTTAATTAAGATTTTCCAAGTAGAGATCTTTGGGGTTATGTAGCTTGATAAAATCCCCACAGCCTTTTGTGATAAAACCTAACACCTATTGGTCCATACCAAACTATATGTTGGGCATAAGAGATAAGCTGGGAAAATATTGGTGCTGAATCAAGATTATCAGTTATTCCACATTAGTCCCTTGTTCAACACAAAGTGCATATTAAATCTATCAAAAGTGGAGTGTGAAAATATTTCTTTCGGTATGTAGACTCTAGTACATTTAGGCTCATGGAATGTGAATGAGTGCCCATATCTGAATATCCATATCCATGACACCACGCATCAACTAACCTTTTATTTTCAACCTTCTCTATGTCTTCAACCTTTTGGCATGTGGTAGAAGCGTCTACCGCTGCAAGAAATCATAGATTCATAAGTGCAAACGTTTACACGGTGGGTGCAAAACAAAGGGGAAAAGAAAGAAATATCTTTATGCAAAATTAGATCATCTATATCAATTGCCAAAGTAAAAAAGTTTACATCGACTTCTTGTTGCACGTCTTTTGTTGAGATTACATGCTTCGCCATCATTTTCAGCTTTATGCAAAGATATCTCCTTTGAGTCCTCTCCTTCCTTGATCTGGAAAAATATATGAGATTAAATGATAGAAATATAAGGCACTGTGAAGAGATCTCACTACATACAAATTCACAGCCGAACGATTACCTTAGATATCTGAGAGGCAGTATTTTGACGTTTAAACTCTGTTTTTCCCTGTAATAGGGGTATATAAAGAATCAAACAAGAATATTGGTGAACTGAAACTTCAAACTCAAGGCCTGAATAAATATAGAATGTCACCAGAATAAGATTTGCTAGAGTAGAACTGTTCATTGTTGGTCATCCATGTTGCTTAACATTTTATGAGGTAAATGGAATTTTATAGGAGTCTAAGTGGAATGATAAATATATATGCAGAGCAGCAGAAGAAGTTAGTGTAATCGCTCCTAAATCTGATTCTGTGGAACACTTAACGAAATTGCGGGATACAAAGATTAGTTATATCCATCACGATGAACTATACCAAATTAGACATTTGAAATATAATTAAATGCAACATATTGTGAAGGTAATAGTTAAAGCTTTTTTTGTGTGGCAACAAACAAGCAGAGAAAGAATAAAATAAAGCTAAAAATATTGAAGTTGCTAATCCTCTATGTTGCTTAAGTTGCTGTTAGTCATCCATCAAAATTGAAGAAAAAAATATATCAATACGAAACAGCAAAAAAACTTCTTCACCAACAGCTCCAGCGCATGACATACAATGCAAGATAAGGACTAACCTCTATTACTAGATTCTTTGCTTTAAATAAAGCATTCTTGCATAGAAGTTCATGCTGTAGTGTTTTTACCTGGTATTGACAAATACCGAGTCAGATATTAGGATAAGCGACGGCTTCACAAGCCAATGGACTGACCTGTATTACTTCGGTTATTGCAACTTACCTTCTCTCTTCCTAAATTAAGCTCCTGCAAAATCAACAAAAGATAGTAAATACCAGAGACAATTAGATAATTACAGAAAGGAATTAGACACTAATATTAATGTGAAAAGAAAACGCACTGCCAACATCCTGCTGTTCGATTGGGCAAGACTCAAATTTTGTAGCTGCAATTTCTGGAGACTAATTCGCAGTTTCTGCAACTCAGCTCCACCTAATTCAACCATTTTACTGTTCAAAAACAATTAAAGGAAAACATAATCTCTCCATTTCTGTAACTTTCCTGGCGAAATCACCCAATCATTCTAGTAATTCATTCTTGGGTGCAATCTCAGTACCCAAACAGGTGATTACACCAAAAAACAATAACAAAATAAAAATAAAAATAAGAAAGGAAAACAGCATTGGAGAGTATGAAAAGGATACGTCCTTTCGGCAACAAGTCTGATCAAAGTCATTCTTTCCTGGTTCAGATATTCACAAACACAAACAAAACCTACTAAGCAAATCTGGCAAAAAAAATATTGAAAATTTGCATAAGGAATGGAAGAGGACCCAAGTGAGATTATACCCTCCTGAGCTGCTCAATGCAGTCCTTATCAGTCAAACAATCTTCCGGCGGCTTTTCATCCTGGATCATTGGTTTCGCAGCCTGCAAATTGGTGATGTCGGATAGCTTCTTCCTCATTATGCCACCCAAAGACAATCTCTTGGGCATACTCTCACTTCTCATGCGTTTGAAACCCTAATTTAAACTTCAAGATTCGCAATTGGGGACTCAAGAAATGCGATTCCAACATCAAAAACAGTGATTTCTGGGAGAAAAATCATTTCCAGGGAAGAGAACCCAGAATTCGAATAGAGAAATTTAAACGAACAAGCAAGTGATTCCGAGAGAATAAAAAAAATGGAAGAAAACCCCAATTTTAAAAGCAGAAATGGGTGTGGATTTTGAAATCGGAGGAGGGAAACTAATCAAATGGATGAAGAGTAAACCCTAATCTTGTTTCTCCTGTCGCTGTGAAACAAAAAGGTTGGATTCTGAGAGACTGAGGGAAAAGAAAGGAAGGGGCGCGGGGGTGGGTGTGATGGAAAGCAAAGCCAATAGGCAAACTATGTAGTTCGGAGTGAGCTTCGGTTACACAACGGCCTTCCGAACCTTAATTTGAATATCTCAACGTTCCAAACTTCCAAACCATTTTGTTTCTTTTTTCTTTTTAATTATTTGTCGAATTAAATTAATCCCTATAATTTATATAAAAAACAATCAACGTGGTTGACAATTATGTTCGGAATTAATCTCTATAATTATTTGCCAATTCAACCTCTACTTTAGACTAAAGTAATGAATTTATTGCCAAAACTAATTTAAATGATTTACCGTCGAAGCAAGAGAGATTAAGGTCATCTCCAACCGAAGGAGAACCAGATGGCTCATTTTAGCCATATAACCCTCCAAGAAATTAATATTTTAATAAACAGTGTCAGACTATATTTTTTAGACCATCTCCAACCGAAAGAGGATTAGATGGCTCGTTTTAGTCATCTGGCCCTCCAAGAAATTAATATTTTAATGAACATTGTAGGGTCATATTTCTTACCATCTCCAACTGAGGGCCAAAGAGTCATACGGCCAAACATAATTTATTATTTAAATTTAAAAACTACAACAACTTAAATTTAAAAACTACAACTTATATTTAAAAACTACAATTAATATTTAAAAACTACAACAACTTAAATTTAATATCTAAAATCATCATTATCTTCATCATGCGCCATTGTAGGAGTATAGTTGAGGTAAACAACTGCCGTAGGGTCATAATTTTTTTTTTCCTATCAAAATAGGTCTTACCCATTGGAGTGTAATTCGAAGTGTTCCCTTCCATATTCTTATCATCCATCTCTTCTTGTATTTGTTTGGCCCGTTCTTTATGCCTACGGTTCCTTTCTTTCGCGGCATAGGCATTTTGCTCCGCCATTAATCGCAATGAGGCCGTCACTTTCTGTTAAGCGGCGTAATCATCATTTGCCTTACCATTTTCCTTCAACCTTCAGGCCATGTTTCGTCCCATAACCCTAGGTATGGAACCTTCACCCGAAGACGAATTTTCTACCCTTATTTGTTGAATGGTAGGAGATCCATCTTCATCCATATCTACAGTTGAGGATGCAATTCTGAACACCGGCGTAGGACCTACTCTATGTTTAGGTGGATCTTCAAATAACACTCACCCTTTACAAATTTCCCAACAACCGTGAAACTGAAAGGGCTTTGAGCTGCCCTCCATATACAATTCCTCCACTTGACGTACCTAGAAAATATAATTACAAAAATTAAAGGAAATTAATTTATGAAATTAAATGTAATATAATTAGATATTTAAAATAAATTATGAAAACACTTACTTCGTCATAGTAATTGGCGCCGCTTTCATGTCTACTTGCAGCTGCTAACAGTGCTTGATGCCATTTGTTCAAATTTGGATGATGATGTTTCTTCCATCTTGAAGAACAACTCTTGTGGTTTTGGGTATTCGGTGGAGTGATGCCTTCGTAGAACTCTAAGTTTTTTTTTGACACACGAGTCCAAACACTTTCACTTGTTTGAGAACTCCCCCTCACACTATCTTCCGAGACTCATCTATAAGCCCTGCAAAGAGCTTCATCTTCGTTCGGGTCCAAGCCCTACCTTTCATTGTAGAGGAGGCCATTTGAAAATTATTGAAAAAAATTGAAGGAAAGATTATTGGAAGAGGTAAGAAAATATGAGAATTGAAATGGTGTAGGAATGGTGAAAATTTTGTGACAAATGATGTAGGAATGGCTTAAGGTATTTATAGGAAAAAAATGAGAATTTTAAACAAAATTTTGGCCCAAAAAGAAAAATTGAAACACAACTGTAACTAACGTCAGCTAGCCGTTGGAGTTCAAATTTTAGCCCAACCTAGGGCTGGCCGATTGGCCATTTGGCCCTTTTTTGTCCAATGGGCCCACAAACCCTTTGGCCTGGCCCTCGATTAGAGACGGTTTTCGAGCTATTTTCAGCACTCTGGCCCTCTGGACCCTTCGGTTGGAGATGGTATGACCATAGGCCAAACATAGCCCTGTGACAAAAAATTATCTCTAAGCGAAGGGGTCAAAGGGCCATAAGGCTAAACATAATTTATTATTTTAATTGAATTAATATGGTTACTTAAATTAAACTACCTTAATCATTTTTGAGATTGAATGGCAATAATTTCTTGTCGATAAGGAATCTCAATAATGTTACTTAATGTTATGTAATGGCTTAGGTAGTTATAGGAAAAAAATAGAATTTTTAAATTAAAAAAAAATTCAAATATAACGGCTAACTGACATCAGCAACTAGTCGTTGGGATTCAAACCTCTGGACCAGCAGGGGCTGGCTGGCTAGTTTAGGCCAGTCGGTTGGCCCAATTCTCCTTTTGTGGCCCGATGAGGCCCACTAGCCCTTTGGCCTAGCCTTTGATTGGAGATGATTTTCGTGTCATTTAAGGCTATTTTCAACCCTATGGCCCCCTATTTGGATCAGTTGGAGATGGCCTAAGGAGCTGTTTCCAGGATTGGTGAAGAGGATCAAAAACCCTAGAAAGGGGAAATTTTGGCTTAAGGTTATAAAAGATGTTAGACGCTAGTCGGACGGTAGGTTGGGGCTTATTCCCTAGGCGGCTAAGTAGGCACCTAGGCGGATTGAAGTAAATCTATTATATTTCGTGTAAATAAGTGTCAGTATATACTTCAAATATATATAATTTCATCATAAACTACGAAATAAAATGACATATGAGATATTGGAACATAGTAAAAACATGGAATTTTAGACCAGTGCTAATTGTATCATTTTGTTCACTGACCTAAACAAAGTTGTATACATTTCTTCAGAGAATTACATTTTTTTGGATTTAGTATATTTCTTCAACTCCCATAAATGAAAACTTCGATTCAAATTATATATGATCCAATGTGTGGTTTAGCCAAAGTTTAAAAAGCATTTATAATCTCACGCACCTCTATTTCCTTTTCTATTTGTTTTCCTTTCTGTACGAAATTCATGATAACCATTTGGATTGCCGATACCAATTCCTTCTTTAAAAGTCACCTAAGAATCAAATTCAAAATTAAAATTCACCATAGAATCAAATTTAATTGGTACAGCATATACTTGCATGTCTTCAAATAACCCAGGAGGCCACAACTTACATAATACATTGAAATACTAACATGTCTCCATTCGATAAACGAAACGGAGGAGGAAGTAAGCAAAGAAAACAAAGCATTCCCCTGCAACAATCGTTACAGCAAAAACCTCAACATGCTTCACAGCGCCCTACTTCGGGATTTTACTGGTTCGTGCTCAAAACATAATACAGGTCCTGACTGAAAAGAGCTCAAGTCATGAATATTTACCAACTATAATATACCGCGGCATTTTCTTCCCACTGTTTTCCTACCCTTAGTTCGATACTATACACAATTTCAACTTGCTGATCTAATCAGCTGTGATGGTGCCTTGCAGAAGGTACGAAGCCTTGTTACGGACCTGCAATGCGGTATACTTTTAACATGCACTCACCAAGGTGTAAGGAGAAAACAGTCAAGTTTGATTCAGTTTGGTCAAATTGCCATACCTTCGATGCAAAAGACCTCAAATCTGTACTGGCTATCAGGCAAGAACAGTTTCGTAAGTAGAGGCGCCACATTGCTTTCAAGACGGGCTTGTCTTCTACTAGTTGACTGGACAAAAGCCAATTCTCGGCTAATACCAAGTGTATGTACATCTTGGAAAAATCACATTTTTTGTCCTTCACATTTACTGGGATAAGCAATTTTAGGATCTCTTCATCGTTAGGGGCCTTAGGTGAAGCATTACGTCAAGCAACAATGTCAAATCAGATTTAAGAAATTAGAGGGGAAAAGGGCATTAGATACAATCACTTAAAACTAACAATAATTTCTTTTGAAGTTGAAAAGAATAAGAATTTAGAGAATAAGTGAGACTATTCTCTCAATGAACATCAGAAAACAATCATAAGATATTATGTATCGTCATGTCACGCATGTTGGATGTATTGCTTTAGTTTCACAACTCTCATGCTCATGCGAGAACAACTTATAGATGGTGTCAAACGCAAACATTTTAAAAAATTTACACTCTTATTCAAAAGCTTAAACTATATGCAACTGATTTTAATTGTGCCCCTCATGTATGGGCTCCAAAGAAACTTCTCATTTATAGTCCTAGCATGTTTAAGTGAATGAAAAAAAAATTATAATTACCAATGGGATATTAAATAGTGATTATACAATCCGGTTACTACCAGCATATGATATTAAAATTCAAGTCCTTTTTTGCATTTTTTGCAGAGAGAATGCTTCTTTCTTTCCCATTAGAAGCTTAACTTATTTTGCTGGAACAATTGTTCGATAAAATGTAGAATGAAAGAATAATTGTGCTGTATTAAAAAAACTTGTAATCTTGTTCAGTACCTTATGATCATAACAGCTAAGAAGCATCTGATGGGCAATTGCACTTCTAAACAGCTTACTACGAGTATCGACTCCCGAAATGCATTCCACAATTCTTAGGCAGGTCACGTCTTTAGGAACTCTGCTTATCATAGATCAGCAATAATAAGGGAGAGGAATTGAACAAAAGTAAACAGCAAAAGGCAACGACACTATTTAGGCATAATTTCAGTGCACATTTTTTTGAGTTTTACTTTTCTTTTTCCAAAATTCCTGTTCAAATGATTTGGGTGGAATATAGTCACAAATATGTATGGATCTCCAGAACTAATTGTTCCCTTACTATATATGAAACTGAACGTAGATGTAAAAAATAATACAAAATCACTGACAAAAGGTGCACAAAGTTCAAATAAATTAATTGATCACGAATTCTTCTCAACAAAGAGAAAGAGTGATCATGACCATTCCAATTTGAAAGTAAAATCCAATCCAACAGCACACATGTGGATTCAAATCAAACAACCAGTTAAGTCAATAACCTGCAAGCAAGAGAATTTGCTATCTTTTCACAGCTAGATTCCCACTCATTTTCAGTGAAGTAACTGATAGCTGACTGCATGCACTCATGTAAAAGCATGGAC